TTTACTTTGATTACCCGCTATTCACTGGAACTTGTACCTGTCAGGATTTGCAAAATACCTGGTGTTATTTCCATGGTAACCAGAGAGTTAAATGTCAAGTGTTATGCTGCCTTAAATTCTTTCTTTTTAAATAAATTTTTTAAAGTGTGTTAAAATTCAGTGCTGGGGAAACTGCCTGATTGACAAGCATGGGAAATCATCTTTTCTTTTCTTGGAAAAAAGAGACAGCTATGATGACATTTCCCATGAGACCACAAGCTCACCACACAGGCACCAAACGTTCCCAGGAATGTAGTGCTGCAGGCTTTGGGCCACTAGGGGACACGGTGCTACAGAAGCCCTGTGCCGGACACCCGACTGGCCCCGTGACAGTAAGCAGCAGCAGTCACTGCCGCCCTGGGCTGCCAGCAAAGATCTTTTTCCACCCAGCCAGGATGACAAGTGTAGGATCTCAAGGAAACTCAGTGGGAGCAAACCTAATGCTGGGGACAACCGTACGTGCTCCCACATTGCACACCCCCAGGAGAGCAAGTGCCTCCCATGTCTCCTCTTGCCCACATTGAACCCACTGCTGTTTCATCTGCAAGAGCTGAAAACTCCAGCACTTGGAACCAGATGAATTTCACATGAGCAATCATGACAGAGCCACTGGATAACCTCCAGGAGAGCTGTGTTTTAAATGTTTCTAAAAATACACTAATGTGATGCAACGCTGATGACCAGATTTGAGTTGGTTTGAGGTTTTGTTTTTTAAAAGTCAGTGCTCTTTATGGTCTCTGCCACCATTTGTAACACTTTCTTGTGTTTTTTCAGTTATGCAACCTTTGTCACAGCTTTGCTTCTTTCTTCTATGTTATGATGTCAGAAAACTAGTAGAAAAGACAGTTTTATTATCTCCAAGCAAATATGTATTGTTTTCAATAACAGAAGTGACACTGTCAATCCATTTTATTACAACTTAGTGAAGGGTTTTCAACCAAAAGGAATCAAAAAACCCAGATGCTGAAACTAGTCTGGGAACCTATAAAAGCAAAGCTGTTTGGTTACATTGGAAATGCCTTTACATCAAGAGATGATAAAAGATACATACAGGAGGTTTCCCCCCATGAGTTAGTAAATTTGGTTAGAATTTGAGAAAAGTCTTAATGCCAAAAAACCAAGCAGATGTACTAACCCCTCTCAGACAGTGAGTGATTCTTCCACCGGGTGCTAGTGACTCTGAAGCGTCACTTGATTAATTCAAAGGGAATAAAAGACCTCATGCATGTTTACTGACACCTCTGGGTAGAGGTAAGGGAGGGACAAACAGGTAAATATATAGTTCTGAGATAATTTCTAACCATGAGGTCAGGCACCATAAATTTTCCATGGCTACATGCACTCTGGCAGTATTTCCCCCCACCCCCTGTTGAAGCTTTCCACTGGGTTGTGAACTATGTTTCAGCAATATTTCCAATCAGATTAAAACACAGATATATACAAGCATAGTGGATTTTTCGTTTCCCACATTATATACTGTGCCTACTATGTTACCTGGTACTATAGGACTTCGATCAATACTTATTCAAAAACAGTTTTTTTAAAACACGATATTTTTAAAAGTTGAGCTAATTTAATTTCTGAAAAATGACTTGTTCAGGGGGTGATGATAATAACAAACTCAAAAATAAGGGATTAGAAGGATCACAGCTCCTCTGTGGAAATTTATGAGGATCCCTCCTCTGTTTCTTCCTGGCTAAGTGACAGCATGAGGACAGCTTGCACACAGGATCACCTAAGGCATAACAAAATTGGAAAGAAGAATAAGGAAAAGGAAGAGATGATACCTTTCAGTCCTACTCATTACAGGTACTACCAACAACAGGAGCAGGTGCAAAAGTTTCTGACAGCGATGAGTTTTTCACATTTAAAGCGGTTAAACTCCAGAAAGCTGTTGTGGGAACTCTTCTAATCTGGAGTCACAAAGAGACTGTAAATCTTATTCCCAGAGGTTTTATTATGTTCCCACTACCAGTTCCCACACACTGAGCTAAAGTAATGCTGCAGCAAGACTGCAGAAATAGCTGTGATTTTCTTATACTTATCAATTGTATCAAGAACGCCTGTTACTTCTTTAGTGTGTGATAGGATTTTCCAACATATTGATCACTATCACCGCAACAAAGCCGTGAAATCTGAGCATGGATCAGCCATTTCAGATTCAGCTACATATTATTCTTTCAATTGTCTCGAAGTCCTATTGATATCTGAATTACACTTCTTGCAGTGCTCCATGCTCCAAACCATTGCCTTCATAAATCTACATGAGGGGAACCCTGCTGAGCTGTGATTGAATTTGTTAAATTGAGGAATCATCACTCTAGATTGATTGTGTTTTAGGAGAGTCACATGCACAACATTTAAAGGACTATTTTGTTTCTTCAGCTGGATGGAGTTCCAGGACATTATTTAGAAAAGAATGAGAATTGTTTTTCTAGGAGTTACAGCCAAAGTTTTGTTGAGCTGTTTTAAGGCCACCATCAACAATCCTTTGTGAAACTGTTGTGTACCTGCTATTGTTAAAAGAAACATCCATGTTTACTGCAATTGAAAGACATTAGAAAAAAATAAACATCTTTTCAGTTTGCCGACAGTATGCACTCAGCACAGTGTGTTTAGTCAGCAGTATTGCTCATCTGTTGACAGTCACATTTTGTTTCCACTTGTGCTCAAAGAAAAGCATTTCCCCAGACTTGTGACAATGTTGAGGACAATAAAACTAAAAAAGCTAAATGTTAAAATCCTATTCACCTGTTCCCCACTCCTCCAAACACATACTTTTCCACCCTTCTCATAAAACTTACATCTATGATTAGAAGTGATGAGAAGAGTAGTTGTGATGGTTCTGCAAACTAGTGCAGCACCTGATCACAAAGAAGAGCAGAAAGTTGCCAACAACCACCAAGTGACGCGCTCTTGTAGAAACTCCAGAAACTGGGGCAGCACAAGAACTGGGACTACTGGATACTACAACAATAATTAAACTGAGTACCGTAGGAACAGCAGGGATGTGATAGGATAGCTGTAACGACTGGGACAGGTGTTTTGAATAAAATGCAGAAGGACAGATATAAAAGTTGTGGAGGTGGAGGTACAGAGTTGTGTGTTAGGAATGCTACAGTCTTCAGGGTACACTTAAAAAAAAAAAAAGTATAACAAGAATGAAGCAAAACCACTCCGTAGAAGGATAAAGACATAGTACTGAGTAGTGCTGGGTAGTTCACTACAATGCCTCAGGGTTAAGTCTGGGAATCAGTAAAGATCTAGGTAACAGTATTGGTAATTCTAGCTGATAATTCACTGTTCATCTGGAAATACAATCTTTCAGATAAAGAATGAAGATGCAAAGCCAGTAATGAAGGAAAGGCAAAGGTCTCCTTGGAGAACTCCTGTATTTCTTTCATGCTAAGTTATTAAATCCCTTAGAAACACTTATCCAAACAAATGAGAAAAATACTGAACAAGGACAGAGGTCACCCTGTGTAAGTCATAGAATCATGGAATGGTTTGGGTTGGAAAGGACCTTAAAGATCATCTAATTCCATCCCCCTGCCATGGGCAGGGACACCTCCCACTAGCCCACGTTGCTCAAAGCCTCATCCAGCCTGGCCTTGAACACCTCCAGGGATGGGGCATCCACAGCTTCTCTGGGCAGCCTGTTCCAATGCCTCACCACCTTCGCAGTAAAAAACTTCCTCCTACTATCTAATCTAAATCTACCCTCTTTCAGCTTAAAGCCATTACCGCTTCTCCTGTTGCTACACTCCCAGATCAAGAGTGCCTGCCCATCTCTCCTGTAGCCCCCTTAAGCACTCTGCTTAAGAAGGCTGCTCTAAGGTCTCCCCGGAGCCTTCTCTTCTCCGGGCTGAACAACCCCAACTCTCTCAGCCTCTCCTCGTATGGGAGGTGCTTCAGCCCTCTGAGTCACCCTATATCATGTGAGGATAACAAAAACTTAAAAATCTACATGACTCTAGAACTGAAGGAACAGATTCTTTCTCTTCAGATAATCACAGATTGCCACAGCAGAGGCAAAAGAGAAGAGGGATCGTAAGTGTAGGGTTATAAATGGAAAACTACTAAGCTGGAAGCAAAACTTAAGTGTGATGTGCTGAAGTCATAAAGAAAACTGTCAACTGCAATTTCAGTTCTGGTAACAGATCCTTTTAATAACTATTTAGTCAGGGATCATGACACAGAACTTGCAGAGCAGCAAATGCTGGGCTTGGATTAATAGCCTCGAGAGCATCCAAGTTCTTCTGAACAGAAAAAATACAGTAGCTCTCACTGGCCTTGTTTTTTCCATAGAGCATCTGAGAGAGTGCAGTGCTGGAGTCTAATGGCTAAGACAGATGAGGAACACAAAGCTGGGCAAAGAGCTGGTTTCCAGTGAAATGGCAAGAGACGGTTTTGAATCAGGAAGTATTAAGCTGGATGAAAGTTACTAGCAGAGTTACTCAATGATTAGTCTTGGGGCAGATTTTCTTGTCACATCTGGCACCAAGTGTAGCAATGACAGAAGAGGCAGAGGTAGTATTTAATAGATAAGAAAAAAGGGAGTATTAGCACCTGACGTTTGAGGACTGACATAGTTGAAATGGGATCTGAGACATTCAAGTGCACAAAATGCATGATCATTCACTTAGAGATTACAGTCAGAAACTTCACTTCACTATCAGGAATCACATCAGTTCATCACGGAATAAATATCAGACACCAAGATAATGCAACTATGTAAAAGGTAAAGGTTTCCTTTGATGATCACGAAAATGAAGAGCTTGCTGTGAGAGCTTGTGCTTGTCTCTTCTTCATTGTGAGAATATATTAGAAGAGTTTGTGCCAGGAGAAAAAAGGCTGAGAGGGAGAAAGCGGATACAATCGCTGTCTGACAGCAGACACCAGACAACCAGAGCAATCAGGTTTTAGAGCAGCCCACTGTTAGCACTAACGGGGGCAAACAAACCCCAGCAAAAAATTCAACAGACCTTCACTGTGGAGCCTGCTAATTTTATGACAACAATTACTTTATATATATATATAAATACTTATATATATATATGTATATGTGTGTATTTATAGGTTCACATGACAATGAAGTGCATGGCATCCTTTGTATCTCACACAATTAAGACTGTTTTATATTTTAATTATAAAAACCCTAGCTTAAGGAATTGAAAGCAAACACAAGGAAAATAAATTTGGAACTTTGGAGCTATGCTTTCAAAAAAACCCATAAACACTTTTATCTAGGGGAATGTAACACTACAATAATAAAAGAGACTCCTGCACTGCTCTGGAGTATCTGAGCACTGCCTTCTTCACAGGCAATTGCTCACCCACAAGAGCAGCAGCATCACAGGACAGGGCAAACGAAAGGTGAAAGTGGATCTGGAGGTAAAAATGAGGAGGGAGAAACGTAAACAGACTGGATTTTAAAACTTTGCCGTTTATTCTTTTTCGATATACAACAACTCTTCTGTGTACCAGATAGAAAACAAGGACTACATTTTCATCTCTAGAGATGTTATTTAAAGACTGAGTGATCAGAATCTAGCTTTTTTTCCCCTAAAACTCAAATAAATATATTCCAGTGAACAGCATCCTTAGGAAGGGAAAAAACCCTATTTTCAAAGAAGAAGCTAGTCTGAGTTCCTGGAACAAAAACATTAAATAAATGTTCCTCCCATTTACTCTGTGCCAAAGAAATGGCATTAACACAATGAAAAAGTCAAATAAACAAAAAAAGACAGGAAATTTAAAGTTATGGCTCCCCATGGCAACAGTAAGTAAAAAGGGTATGAAGCAGATGCCGCTACATTTTACACATTCATCATAACTCCTGGCATTGTTGGGTTTCTGTGGCTGTGGAACCGATGGACCAGGTATTCATAAAATTCAAGTCTGCCTGTGTGAACTGAGGAATAGCTCAGGCAAACAGTTACTTGGGTCAACTATGCACCTGCTCGGAGGTCAATGCAAATCCTGTGCCTTGTGTGTGAGGACAGCACCGACCCAGACACGACTCACAGGAACCCATTACTAAGTTAGGTGAATATTTTATGGCCATTACTGGAATAGACTGAACTGAAAACCTGGCTAAATACATCACAAGAAGTCATTAAAATCAAACAGAAATGGAAGGAAAAAGTGAAGTGCTAGAACTTTGTCTAGCATCGAGCAAAATATTCAAGACTGACTGAGCTGATTATGGGAGAAAGCTTTTCTCACTTTGGATCTTCATATTATGTGAAATAATGAGTTTCTAAAGAGGGAGGGAACTTTAAAGTATTCATAAAGGGATAAAAAATGGCTATGGGAGCAAGAAAGTTGCAGCAGTATGGGCAAACCATGAGCCCCTCAAACTCTAAACACTAATATCCATCACCTTGGGTAGCAGTTTCTCTGTTTCAATTTAGCACAACAATTACATAGGCCATACACGTCTGCAATTCTTTGCTACTCTGGGATGCAGCATGTTAGAGCAGCATTATAGTAGGGCCCAGAGACTTCAGCTAAGGGCTACACTGTGTAACAGAGCTGCAATAAATACATATAAAGCAGTGAAAGAATGAGGAAGGAGAACCCATTTTATTTTACCATGGAAAATCAAGGCACAAAAATACAAGTTCCTCAAAATCTAAGTCTGGAATGGAATCTACATCTCTCCTGAGTCTCTGTCCAGTCTCCCAGTTAAAAAGACAGCCCTCTGTTCAAATATGAAATCAAGTCCCAAATGCTCTGTGTCTCTATTTTTGAGTCTTTTGTCTACACCAGCAAGGAGCAGAATCCTGATCTTAGGTCTTCCTCTTGTCTCCAGAGAAACTTTCAGTTCTCCGCAAGAACAGGCAGACAACTTAAGAAGTCAATATAGCTTCTCCATTCCAAGAGATGAGGCTTGACCATAAGGGTATTTTGGTTTGTGTTCTTTATTCTACCCAGCAAAGAAGAAGTGGTTTAGGTATAAACATCAGCTGGCCCACTGACAGGCAGTGATGTTCAGGAAACAATAATCTTGCACCGCAAGCTCTAATCCTCTTTTGAAGATTGACAATTGTTAATGAGATTTATTTTAGGAGCAGATAGAAACCAAAACATCAGCTTCTCTCTTTAGTAGATGATAAGGGATTTTCTTAGAGATTTTTTACACAATATCCATTAAGGAGATTTGAGGCTCCCATTCTCTCAGGATATGAGGCAATAGTAGCAAAGTATTTCTGTATAGGTGTTAGTTATTCAAATCAATCATGCTATTGGAACATGTTACAAACACTAATTCATTTATTCTCATGGTATTCATATTTACACCTATGGGAAGGTTTAATTGGTCTTAGATTCAGAAATATTTGAAATTATTTTCAGTTCAGGCCAATCTTTTTTGCTTCCCCATATTGTGAGTAGCTAAGTAGTGTCTATAGCGCAGAAATTACTTATGAGAAATTCTACTGGCTAGGCTCAACTAGATGATCAAAAAGGTCCTTTTCTAATATTACAGTTTACCATTATTTAAAAGAATACAAATTAGTGATAACATCAACCTATTTTCTGTTACTGGCAGTGTCACAATAAGAAGATATATTGGCTCAAGTCCACCTGAGTTTGACTTGACTCAAGTTCAAGTCAGTAATATGCCCTAATAGCCTTATTTTGTGCAGTTTGACCCATGTTGTAGTAGTAGGTATGATCTCATCCCACTGTCACAGTGATCATCCATCATTACAGTGGGCCAGATTTTCCCATCTTCAGAAACAGAGGCTGAAAAGTAATGACAAGAACTGCTCTGTCTTTATGTTCACGGCAATATGGTGAGCAGGTGGACAAAAACACTTCTGTCTATAATCTGACAGAGAAGAGACATTTGTGGTTTTAATCTATTGCTTTAAGAACTTGTACAAGTATCAAATTTAATTGAAAAAATACATACAGATATTAACAATATTCTTAAAAAATATTTTGAAAACAAGTCAGGACAGTTTCTTTGCTAGAACTAGAAAGTACTTGGTGCAGAAACCTTATGTAGAAGGTGGCTACATTCCCTTCTATGCACGCAAAAGGCTAGCGTTCACTCTACTTTGGTTTCTTGGAGACCATCTAGTTATTGAAAGTATCTAAAACCTTAATTAGTTTGTTTAGTCTTACCCGTTTCTGGCTGCACCGTACAATCAAGAAGGTCTCAATACTGTGCTCCTTCAGATAAGCATTGCGTTCCCCTCCAAAGCCCAGCTCCACCTCGTAGTCTCCATTGAGATAGTTCAGGGTTGCTTTAGTTATGTGGATGCGCCTTGAATGAGACAAAAGACAAGCCAGTTTTGTAGGCTTGGAAAATTATCACCTGAAAAGGCAGCGCCTGTCAGTGACAGGTTCCATGTACTGGAACAAGCAAGTAACAAAACCCAACTTATTTAGCCACGTCACTACTCTTGCAGATGTAGTACAGGAGTTCAATCTATTTTAAATGAAGCAGGTCAGGAGGCATCTTCTTAAAGAGAGAGGTGTTCACAGTAAGCATCTTACACATTGAACAAACAGTAGACACACGCTAAAAACACTGCACCCACAGTTCATTTTACAGCAGACATACAGACTCTCTGAACCTCCTTCCCCCACTTCTCCACCTCGCTGTGACATGTCGGACACAAAACAACACACGGATTAATGTGACAGCTTTGAAGTAACTTACCCAGCTTTGCCTCCTGCTTCCATGTGGTTGGCTAACGTAACATCGTTGGACCACACATCAAACTGCCACTTCCTAAGGCCCAAGACCCCGCAGTGAACTCTCCCGCTGTGGATTCCAACCCTCATGTTGACATTTACTCCTGTCACCTCCCGGACTAATCTGAAAAGAGGTATGGGAAAAAAGGACATCACTAAGAACTGCATGGCTGTAGTCAGTGGTACAAACTTGCACCCACAACACAAAAATCCATAATGACCCATATATTATTCACGCATACCCACAGTGCTGCTCATACACAGAGGACAACAAAACCAGAGTGGCTGCACTGCTTTTCAATGGCCTGGCTGGCCAAGCAGAGCACTGATTAGAAAGGGGAGCCGTTAGAGTAAATCCATGTACTCTGAACTCATGGTCAAGTCGCAAACTCATTAAAAAAATAATCTTTGGGGCAGTAAAAGGAATAAAGTGCTGGTCTCTGATTTCCATACCAATGCTGGACATAACCTGCCAATACTCAGCCTCATTAAGAGTAATAACATGTTGCAAAGAGAAAAAGGAAATGATTTCAGAGATTTTAATTTGTCTGTATGGCACCAGGCATCATGTCTTCCACAGATGAAATACGATATGTGTGCGAAATACCTCACTGCAGCTGGAAACCTTGAACAGTCTTACAGCTGCAGTCAGAGCAGCAAAACCAGAGAACCACATCTACTGCAGTCCCTCCAAACAGGCAGCTACAAATACTCAAGCTCTGATTTTAATGAGGTTTTGGATGCTCTGCTTACTCCCAAAATGACTGCTGGAATTCTTTGTGGGTTTTGGCCTTTTAGGGCAAAAGTTAACTTCAAGAGCTGTTCACATGGAAAATATATTTAGGAATGTGGGTAGGGGAAAGTCTTGATGAGGCCATCAGAACAACTCTGCTTCTTGTTATTGCTGATCACTTCATTCCCAGATTGTCCATGTTTTACAGGCAGCATAGTCCTTTCCTTTGAGTTGTTTCTTGTAGCACGAAGTTGTACATTATACCTATCAGATTTCAATCTCTTTGGTTTTCAGATTCATCTAGTCCTTTTTAGATAACATCCTCTGGACAGTAAGTCCTCCCGTCTTCCTAACATCAACACAGATTTAATATTTATGCTTCAGTTATTAATGAAAATGAATGTTTAAAAATAGACCAATTCTGGACTGTAGTTCACTCCTCACAGTGTAATATGCCCCTTAAAAGGCTGCTCAAGATGACTTCTCATTTAAGTAGCTTTTACCCTCTTACAGTTCCTTTTTCCTTACACTCCCTATCTTATGTTTCACTATCTACTCGCTGAAGTGACATTCATTATTTTTACTAATAAGCAGCAGAGATTCTCTAGCAGGGAAGGGAAGCTACATATGGGTAAGGTGCCACAGGCTTACGAACTGAAAAATCTCCAACCACAACACTTGGGAAAGCAGCAGGAACCGGGGTAATGAAAATGCAGCTGTGGCCATAACCCTTGCAAGGACAACACCTTGTGGTGTGGATACAGAACTGGGGAGCGAGGAAGAACGTGCTGCACGCGTGCTAGAAACCCCACTGCGCCCTCTGCCAAGCCATGTTACTGATACGAGACCAGGGAACTTCTCCCAGCAGAGTTGTTGATGTGAAGGTGACTTTCTCCAGACTTTGCATCAAACAAAAGACTTTGGTTATCCTTTATAGTCAAATGAAATAACCCTTGTTACCTTTCTTTTTTTAAAAAAAAGTTAATTTATACCAGTAGTACAACGAGTATCATTCTTTCTTTCTGATCTGGGGTAACACTCCCTGCTGTTATTGTGCCCAGATGAAATCAGGCTATGAGCAGGGCCCAGTGCTGGTGAAACCTGCAATCAAATGTTCAGTAGCTATTGGTTACCTTAATTGTGAAACCTCTTATCTTGATCCTTAGGGGAAGAGGATGTGGGGGGGAAGCTGGGGTAGTGAGAACAGAGTCACCTTCCAGACTTATTAAGAGATAAGACTGTTAAATGCATTTATCATACATCAAGTGGGAAACAAGTTTTAAAGGCTGCTGATGAGCTATTGGTAAACAAACACTGAGTGCACTTCAGCTCCATGTTTATTTCAAGGTAATGTGTGTTGCAGTTAGTCAATGAAGTCTAGACATCCTGGTGTTACTCAGCGTTTTGGGGGATTACACAGCAACGGGTCAAGGTCTCTGGATTTCATCAGGCCAACAACTACAGCAGAAAGTGAGACTTTTCTGGGCAATGTACAGTGTCTTCTTTGTAAGGCTGGTGGCTAAGAATTGCTGCTGCTTTCTTGTGTTTGACAAGACCTGCCGCTAAATTGTACTTCACCTGGAAGAAACAGCATCCTTTCAAGGGCTACTGAAAACGAGTTGCAACTCCTTTTATTTTGTGTTTTGCATACAAACTCCAAAAGGAGACTGGAGCAAAGCAGCAGAGTTTAAAACCAGGAAATGAAAGGTAGGAAGTCTTGACAGTGTACTCTGTACAAAGCAAGGGAATGCTGCACTCTACTCTTTGAATGGGGTCTGCTGGGTGAAAACACTGCTTTTCAAACTATGTATCTACGTTATGAAAACAAGGCTGAACAGTGTGGGTGGGTATTCATGTCCTTGCACAAATTTATATGATAAATATGTACTGTATCAAGCTCAGCAAACAGGTAGCTCTAGTTTTTATGAACACGAAGTGGAAACTCCGTCAATTTACTGAATGGAATGAGAACAGAACTGCATAGAGATCTTCTACTTCTCTGTTGTTGCTACTGATACTTCAGAAGATGCTTTCACAAAATAAAAAAACTAGAAGAGAAGGGAAAAAGAAGCAGAGCCTCTGTGCAGCAAGGATGGTGTAGACATTAAGGTCAGCTCAGTTACCATCCGAAACCGACTGAATTCTGTGCCTAAACTTGCATGCACTCAGGATGACCCAATTTATCTTCCCTCCCTGAATTCTAAAAGAATTGGCTTGTGAAAGCTCATGTCCAATGCAAACAATATTCAACATTGTCTGCAATCCTCCAAGTGATATAACTAGATATGGGTCTCATATTTGTTACTCTCTAAAGACAGGAATGGTCTGGACAAACACTGGATTGCTAGTCTGATCTCAGGAGCAGCAAAAACTTCAAAACAGATATAAAAATGAAAAATAAAGATGGGGAAGTAAGTGGAAATAAAGTAAAAAGCACCACAGATCGGTCCCAGTCTGTGCCAGACTGACTTTATGGCTTTCTTCAATAATTAATTTAACTAAAGCAAGAAAGTCTTGAATCTGACCTTTTTGGAAAAGGGACACATGAAGAAGGATTAGTTAAACTAGAGAAGACAGACCTTAGCAGAGGAATTGTAAGGTGAGTAAAAAGCTGGTTTAAAGACAGATAAGAGAAGAGTGACTGAAATTCAATAACATTATTAATCCTCTGATTTCACATTGCTGTAATTGACTGGAAATCTCCTTTGGAATGAGACTTCCAGTAACTACAGTAACCTTTGACTTTCTCATGAGGAGACTGAGCTGTGATATCCACATGGCTGTAATGGACTCAGTGTCTGTCCTTCTGCTGCCAAACCTTTACTGCATTTTGTTTTCTTGTTCCAGCTGGTCTCCCTCCCTGGTTTTGGCTACCTCGCTACTAATATAAGGAAGACCTAAGAGGAAAAAGAATCTACTTGCTATTCATTCTGAAATTCTCATGGGGAATATGGTACTTACGAGATGGCCTCTATCATATCCATTCCCATTTCAACACAGCAGTGTGCATGGTCAGCTCTTGCTTCCGGCAACCCAGACACACAGTAATAGCAATCACCCAAGATCTTGATACGTAAACAGTGGTTCTCCTAAAAAAATAATGATAATAATAAAGGAGAGAGAAGCATTCAGCGTATACTCATGCTTGCAATAGCTTGCCTTTTAGGGCAGTGAATATTTACAGAAATCCAGTGAACCAGCACAGTATGTCATTCTTGCAACAGGAAAAAAATATATCAGAATTATAATAGAAAACTTACAGCTGCTAGCTTATCAAATCTGGCAAAGAGCTCGTTCAGCGTCATGACCAGCTCCTGAGCAGTGCACTGGGAGGCCAGACTTGTGAAACCCTCTATGTCTGCAAAGAGGATGCTTGGGAAAAAAGAGAAAAAAAATATGAAAGTGTCATAAATTTTTTTGCTGATATTTGTGTAAGTTCTGGAGTAGAAGTCCAGGGATGGGGACGCAGGTAGAAGTGTCCCAGCTCTATAGCAGCAACGAGATAAGCACCCCTAATGCCACCTTATGCTACAGCCTCTATCACATGTAAAGCCCTGAGGGGCACAGCCTCATCCTCTCCAGAGGTTAGAAAGGGTGAGAAAATCCACAAGCGTTTCATCCCTCCACCCCTGACCCATGTCCAGAAAATTTACAGTACGCTGGGAGCTGGTGGTGGCCTGATAATGCTATCAATCATTAACAACGAGGCACTCCTACACAATGACCAGATTAGCCCAGCTATAAATTCAACACTTACCCATTCTGTTCACATTCCTCAACCTCTCAGCTCAATAGCATTGCCTGTGTCTTAACTCCACTGCAGAAAATCCACACTCCTCTGTCCGCTTTCCCCGCTGCCAAAGTGCAGCCACTAAAAAAAATCCCTCCCTAGTGAATAACCCCAACCTGCCTACCACAGCTGTCACTCCCGCTTTGGTGATCTGCTTCCGCGCATGCACCCCAGCCCCGTGGCTGGCAGCACCCTGCCCTGTACCATGGGCTTGGCAGACACGGGCTCCTGCGATGCTATAAAAGTGCAAAGCTGTGTGTGGTGGTCTACCATGAAATAATAAAATATAAAAATCATAATTTTCCATACAGGAACACTTATGAAGCAGTTGATTTCTTCTTTGAAGTTGATTATTGCATCAAGCTGTACTTGAATAGGAAGAGAAATTAAAAGTGTTAATTAAAAATTAACAAGCATTTTGGAATTGTTTCTTCTTTGTAAAATAAAACTCCAACATGTTTTAAGCAAATTGCAGAGGCTATGTTTTCAGTTGGAATTCCCTGCAATGTCTTCAGATAGAAAGCAAAGACAACAAAAATATTTTCAGAAGCATTTTTTGCAAAAATCCTGAAACACATTTCAATTCTGGCATGCTTTTCATATTTTCCTTCTACATTTCAGTTCCAATAAATCATTAACCAAACATATTGCATTAAATATTTCTTTGTCAGTCAGACTGAAACTAAAAAGTACAAGAAAAAAAAAACAAGAGAGGAATGCAGGGATGTCCGAATCAAAATATACTTTGCCATTTTTTAAACACTTAAGAAAACACACACAAAATAAATCAAGATTTCACATATTTACAAACAAAAGTAAACCTCCCAAAGAAATGCACTTGAAACCGACTGAAATCTTAGAGATGTCTCTGCTGCTGGCTAAGCAGCTTAAGTACGTATTAATATGCAATGTACAAATAGGAAATATCTCCAGTTTTTGTGGAAGTAACAAAACGTATCTTGTTGCAAGCATGTTACTCTTCCAGCATGGGGCAAATTGCAAATTCCTCACTTGTGGACATGTTCACACTCTTTGCTTGCATGCAGGTAGTAAGAGCTGTGTGTTATAATAGGAATATAGAGCAATTGCTACTCTGCTGTTCAGATAGCAATAGGTATATTTGAAAATACTACACAGGGGTGCCCTGAGCCACCTCCTCATGCCTGATTCAGAAAATTAGTGCTAGGACAGCATCCTAATGGATAAATGACTATAGGTTGCCCCCTCCTTTCCCTATTACTGTCATGCCAGATAGTGGATCAGACATTCTTAGAAGTTAAATCACAGCAATATTTTCAGCCAGGCAAATGAAGTAATCAGCAGAGACCTATGGAGCCAACCTAGCACAGATTTATGCCTTTTCAAATTGAAGCTACTTGATTACAACATTTTCTCAAACTTGTAACCTTCTATGGGTGACCAGCAAATTGCTCTTTGTTCAAATTCGGCAGCTATCTCCTTCATCTTGATCCTTGTCTTGCACTTCCAAGGACAGCACAGTTGCAGCTCCACATGCAGATCTGGCCGAATTCTAGAAAACTACAATTACAAGCAACTACAAAAGGGTTTATTATGAGAATAAAAACTGGAAAGGTTGCACAACGGGACTCAGAAATGCATTCTGCACATAAGCCAGTAGCAATACTGGATAGTTAATATTGTCTGATGCCTCTGTTAGGAAGACAGCATTTACTACATGAGGTGCTTCTCCGAAAGAGTAAACAGGGATGCATGAAACAATTTCAACAAAGCCAGTGTGATTATTTTGGAGAAGGAAGTCAAGGAAAAAGAAGTTTGGTTTTATCTAAAGTAAAAGAATGAATGACAAGTATTTTTTTAGATGCTTCAAGTCTCTCCTCACTCTTGAACATGGACATGACACTTGGCAATAAAGGGAAGAGCTTCATCTGGCACATGTCTTTTGCTCTTTATATGAAAACCTACTCAGAATTGGTTACGTGTTAAGTCTTTTGCATGACTCAGTCTTTGCACACTTTGTGATTAACATGAACATATCTACCTGCATGGTCCATCCCTTTGCCTCTTTTCCATGTCAGCTATCCAAGTAACACATGAACCTGTTGCAGCACCTGGGCATATTCCACTACAGGCTTTAGAAGCTGTGTGACCTGCTCCGCTGCCATATAGCTATGCCACTGAGCTATCAGAAGACACTGCCTGGGACACATGGGCTGCAGGGAATGGAAAACCTCATCATGGTATGGAAAGGACCACATGGGAGATGGCAGAAGACAGAGCAGTGATCTGGGAACTGAAGACAGAGAGGGGAAAGACACATTTGTGGCAGGAGACTGGAGAAAGAACAACACACGACTGTCAGAGAAACCAGCCCTTGCAAACAGGAACACAGCCTGAAGCCTCTCTGTCCTCTGCCCTCAACAGAGAGCTCTGAAAGCCACTAAATCCCATTTTACTCCTCCTGCCTAATCTGTTCCCTCCACACAATCCTGCCAGCACCGCAGCTCCAACAGCAGAGACAACAACCAGGTTTATCGGTCCCAACCCTGCTAATGACCTGGAAGGGAGGAACGGGGACCTGTGTACGCGGTGGTGTGCCACGCCACTTCTATTCCATTTGTCATTAGCCCCAGTACCCCTTAAATTCAGTCTTCTCCCTGTAAACTACCCAACAGCCCAGAAATACCTATGAAAAAAGTAGATTTCTCTTACAATAGCCATCATGGAACAGCACATGATCCTCATCCTGTATTTAGTCAGAGCTTTTCTTTAAAAACAAAGCCCACTGTATCTCCTTTCACACACAACATCTACACAGTGATGTTGCAAGAGCATCTCCCAGTCTTGCCAGTACACCTCATCCAGACTTAGGTGCCTTAACACACAGCTTCCCCACTACCCTTAGGTCCTCACTCCACACTTCAGTCTTCCATGTCAGACTACACTTAACAATGAAAATATTTTATTAAAGGACAATGGTGATGGATGATTGTGATGAAGGGGACAACTCAAGCCAACTATTTGTCAGTCTTCAGAGGGCAAGGCATTTCCTTGCTGGTGGGAGCACAATGCCAGTAATAGGCCTTTGCTGTGCCAAAATGTGGGGTAAATGACAGTGGTCAACAAAAGGTCAAACAGAATAATTTTTATAGCTATAAAATATCATGAGATAAGTAAGGCAGTGGTTTAGAAGTACGATTAGCTGAAGCTGACTGGAAGGGATTGACCACACAATCTGCAGCCTGGGCGTCAGCAACTATTATCAGGCCTGGGTCCCAGTCCCTTCATCTGGAAGGCTCCTGCTTTCTGGAAAAAACAGTTTAGCATGTAATTAAAATGTTGTAATGGCTTCAGAGCTCTTGATGTATTTTCCACTCCGTCACTGCTTTCACATTTACCATCTGATTGGGTTTTGTCCAGTAGTAACCAGGGTATGACCTCAAAAAGACAAAAAACTGGTTTATTTCTGGGAAAGACAGACAAGAAAAGGAGAGTTATCATTCATTTTATAAGCTTTTTTTAAAAAAATTATTTCTGTTTAACTTTGGTTGAAAATACCACAAATTGTGTTACAGGGTAGAGGTGAATACTTTCCTAAGCTCTGATTTCAGCTCCTATTTCCAGCAAGGACTGCCTCAAGATTTCGTAGCTGTTCAAGGCAAGATCAGTTTTGGGCCTGTTGCCCTAACTGGCTCATGACACTGACAGGGATGAAAGATGAAAAGGAGCTTGGGTAGCTTCCAGGTCCTGCCATCCTCCCCTCTGCATAGGGACCAGCCTGATACCTGTCTGCTCTTGCCAAGCCCCAGGCAGGACAGCAGGAAAGGCAGATACATGGACTGAAGCATCCCCGTGCCGCTGGCTCCTGCTGATTCCACGAGCCCAGGGCTGATGGGCAGCACAGGGCAAGCTGGGCATGCAGCTCTAGTTGCTGCTGCCACTGGGATGCCAGCCTCTGCCTGAGCTTGGCCCTTCCCAAAACCACCACCACACCTGTGGACTGTGAGACCTCCATGAGCAGGATGTCTAGATGCTTTTTGCAGAGTGCTTCACGTAGCTGCAAAGGCAGAGTAAGGTGAAAGGGAGAGAAGAGCTGCTAAGCCAAGAAGAGAAAATTCCCAAAGTGCTGAGCTCAGCTTTCCCATTTTTTGGTCTATAATGCATTCACAGAATAGTTATGATAAAGATGAATGGGCAGCTCAGGTACCAGCAGAAGCCTCAGTGCACCACTCCAGAGATCAGCAGTGTGAGCCTGCCCAGCTTGGGCTGCTTTCACTCTCTGTGCTCAGGTCCATCCCACTGCACCATGAGTCCTACGACTACAGGCGATTTCAAACTAGCTCCTGTAATTCAGGTGATCCTTGCTGTGACTGCACTGCTAACATACCCAGAGGCAGAAGCATCACAGGATCTTTCAGATGGCAAAGGAGAAGGTTCTTAGCAAGAGCCCAGGAAGGGGAGAGATCTTGGCAGAAAGCAAAGAACAATGTAAGGAGTAGGAAGACCTAAGGACAAGGTGGGAGGCAGGAAACCCACATGAGACATTTAAAAACCACACACACCTACAGAGAATGGTCTTGAAGTGCAGCCTTAAATGTCTGAA